ATGGATGTTCTAGCTATGGAAGAGAGGAGATAAAGATGTAATGGAAAGGCAAGTCAAAGCCCCACCATTGGGAATGTGAATCAGATACTTCAGTGGAACCCCATGGGGAATGATGCCTTCCAATGTATTATTTCTACTGAAAGAGTCTAGACATGATAGGTGAGTTTAGACTATCTGTAGTATTAGATAGCAAGAAAGTTCTTGAAAACTACTACTAGTCCCTTGATTAAAATTTAAAAAAAAAAGACCAACTAAAAGAAGCTTCTGGCACTCAAAGATGAGACAATTTGAACCTTAATAATTGTGATAGATTGAAACCCACAAGTATAGTAAAATCGAGTCCATAATGATGTTTAAAAACAATACACAAATTGTTTACCTTTGGGAAGTCATAGAAAAACAATTTGATATTGAAAATGGTCAACAAAAGAAGGAAAACCATAGTTTTCTGCCCTTCCTAAGTGAACTGTACCACTAAGGAGCTAAATCCTAGATGTATAAGGGTGTTTCTTTATAAACATATTTCAACCAATAAATGAAAAGGAAGGAGAGAATTAGAATGTCACCATTTGCAGCCCCAGTGATGGATATAGACATTTTAGCAAGAACACCTGCTAAGATCATACAGAGCGATGACCACATGTTATATGCTTCCTGTAATCCTGCCAAACACCACCGCTTTTCTCGCCAAAAGATCAAATCGAGTCCGATGACTTCTCTGGACCTAGCTGTCAATCTGCAGGATGTCCAGAAGACAGAGGAACATACTGCATCACACTGAAAATGAACACCCTGCAGAGTCCAGACTCTAGAAAACATTACTGGTCAGATTGTCTGGTTTTCCAGCAGGTGTACTTTAGAGAAATGATGGATATGGAGGAAGAACCTGCAGGTTAAAAACAATAATTATGCCACATCACATATTTTTTAATGAGCAAGATTATTCAGGAGTAGCAGTTGGAATGATGCATTATTTTTAAAATACAAATAAGTTATTCTAAAATGGAGGATGATCATTTTTATGGAGTGGGGAAGGAACTTGAGAGAGGTAGGCAGCAGTTTGTAGATATCTAACCAAGTTCCATAGCCTGACGTAGATGTTGGTATCACCTTGTAATAATTCATGAGGCATACATTCATTGTGTATACGTGTTAGAAAGATAAAAAATCAGTCCAATCACCAAATTTTAAGGATGTTTATATCTTGAGTGACCCAGTAGCTGGCAGTTTTCTCTCTTTTCATGTTACTCCTTCATATGTGTTTCCTTTCTAATGGTATTTACCCTGACATGTTCTATACATGCAATTTAAATTGATAAAATGATATTTTAGTGTTTTTCTTTTTAAACAGCCATGTAACCTCTTAGCAGTACTTCACTGAAAAGTGAATGGTGAATGCAAGACGTTATAACAGTTATGTTAGTTAGGAGGCATAGATTCTTTCTCCTACACAATTTTAAAAGTGGTGCTGTTTTTCTACATAGTCCTGATATGATGAAAAGCCCTAGGTTTGCCAGAGCAGCTTTCTCCTACTGACTGAGCTAGAATTATTGGGAAGCTATTGTTAGTTTCTCTGCAGGTCAAATGCCTGATGATAATCTTCTCACAGGCCCTGATGGTTAAATGCGATTAAAAGAAAACAATTTATAAGTCTAAAGGTTCTATACTAACATGTTACCCTTGTCTCATTGAATGGGAGCTACAAAATCTTTTATTTTCCTTCTCCTTTGTTTTATGTACAGCAGTAAACAAAAACCTGCTTTTTCAAGAAATGCATCTTCCATTTAAAATATTAAATAATTTCTTCAGTAAGAAGGGTTCCTTTAATTCCATCTTCTTATTATAATAGCAATACTTATGTGCTTTTAAAAAGTGAACAAAATATTATATCCAATGTGAATCTAATGAAAATAGAATTGAATGCTATTATACTCATTATATAAGTGGTCTTCTTTTTTGTTTTCTTTTTAACCAAACCATTGCATTAGCACTATAAAATAGAGAAATATTAGGTACTGTCATTAAATAGCAAATTAGACCAAGTATGTATAAATATTTTAACATTTTTGATACAAATGTAGGCTTAATTCATTTTCTTAACTCTCAAAAACTTGTATTTTCCTAATCCAGATATAATCCCTAGTTCTTTGGGGATGAATTGCTTCTCACATTTTCTTTTAATACCGCACCAAGTTTATAGCACTATTGAATTAATTCCTTTGATTACAGCATTGACTAGTAAATTTTTCCCTCAATATAAAAATGATTGAGAAAAAAGTCAGTTCCTGTGTGAATTTGCACTATTTTTTTTTAAATATGTAACCATGATTGGAAACAATTTAATTTCAGTCTTTGATACAACACTCTGGGAAGGCGGGCAGGTGTGTTCTTTTGTGATGAGAGGTAGGGCGGAGAGGGAATTTTTTTGTTCCGTTTCATGTTAGGTTGGTTTTGCTCTAATCTTCTGTCTTGAACATATTTATGTAAGTAATGTATGGCATGAGATTAGACTTGTGTTTCTGTATGGTTTGTCACTTTTTTCTCTGAGCAAGATTCCTTCTAGGAACTCAAGTATAGATAAGCTAGAAGTACATTACAAGGCAGTTATAGAAAATTATATATGAATTCATTTTGATGAAGTGTCCAGAATAGACAGATTCAGGGACAAAAAGTAGATTTCCAGGCGCTGGGGGTCAGTAATGGGCATATGGTTTCTTTTTGGGTGATGAAAATGTTCTGTAGTCAGATAGTAATGCTAGCTGTTCAGTTCTGTGAGTGTACGCACAACCACTGACTTGTACAATGTAGACCGAGGCAGATGGGGGCAAAGCTCGGGACCGTACCCATTTGGCCTTTGCTTTCTCTCAGGCAACCTTGGGTTTCTTGAAACCACTGACCTAAGAGATCAGGACCTGTGTATCTCCAGGTATGGAGGTACCAAGTAAAAGCATGAGTATCTTCACTGAGTACTTCCGTCTTTGCTAAGAAGGTGCTGAGCAAAGACACTGAAATAATTGAGTTCTAAAATCTTATTCCTAACACAGGGGTTTTCATTTTGCTTGTCAGTTATATACAGCTTTTTTCCCACCTTTCTTTCTTATAAGACATTCAGGAGAAGCATGTCTATAAACTTGATTATCTGCAGTGTGCTGCCCAATAGAAAAGATGTAAATATTCTTTACAAGTGCTGCTACATCCTTTTGGTTTCCTTCAGTCCCAAGTGTTCTTTCTCTGAACATTTCCTTTTTTAATGCTCAACTTCCTTCTGATTATTTCTCCTATTCTGCCTGGTAAGGTCTTAATACCTTAATTTCTCATAGTAACTTTACCTCCACAGAGTTGCCTTAGCTTATTTTGTCTGTCTATTAATAGCTTTTTCCTGCCCTGCACTTCTCTTTTACATCTGGGGTACTCTATAGTCATACAACTTCAGATCATTATAGTTTATTTTCAGTCATTCAAAAAAAGATGTAACAGTATGGATCTTCTGGCCATTTCTAGTGATTGCATGGAACTGTCCCTACTGGAGTTATTTGTTTTAGTAATGTGAAAAACGAATTTTAGACTGTATATATATATATATATATATATATATATATATATAGCTTGGTCTTATTCATACTGTCTTTCTGCTCTTCAAACTTAGAGTAGAATCAAAAATTTCTGTGATTTTTTTTTTTTTTTTTTTTTTTTAACTAGGAGCAAACATATTTAGGTAGAAAGAGAATAGATATTCAGACATGGTGGTGCATGCCTGTAATCCCAGCACTCAGGAGGCTGAGGCAGAGGGATCACTGTGAGTTTGAGACCAGCCTGGGCTACAAAGTGAGCTCAAGGCCAGCCTGAACTGCATAGTGAGACCCTGTCTCAAAAAGACTAAAAAAAAAGAGTAGATAGAAAGCAGCAATACTGTGCAAAGATTGACTCTGAATTAGTTGTTTTTGAAAACAGTTATTTTTTTTAAGTTTCAGTTTGCAAAACAAGTTTATATGAGGCCTGGAGAGATTTATAGTGAAGGAAAGAAAAGACAGGGTGTGAGCAGGGAGTTGTCAACAAAATAAACAAATATATTTGTCAGTCAGTTAATGCTGTAGAACTGTTCTCTATTTATAAGGAGATAGGAGTGAGGTCTATTCAATGCTAGATTGGCCAGCAAAGTAGGAGGCAGAAAATCAAGATTTTAATTCAGTTCTGTGCAGATAATATAAGTATTTTAAATATATCTCCAGCAGGACTAAAGTTGTTACTGCATTGCAAATAAAAACTGATACTAAATGAATGATAGAGAGTAGAAAATTGGGACTTAGAGAACAGTTTGTGGGATAGAAGAGGGTAGGGTTGGGTAATTTCAGCCCCTGTGCTCCTAAATGATTATTAAAACTAATCATCTTGAAGTACTTGAAACAATAACATTGTACCTCCTCTTTAAAAATTTGGTTCAAGTAAAATAATTACATTCCTGCAACGTTGAGAAAGGATAGAGAAACAGCGTTCTCTCCAAAGTAGAAACCCCGGGGTGCGTCTGCGCTCTCTCTCCTCTTCACTGTTTACTCTTTTTCCAGACTAGAATATATGTTGGTTTGGGAGGAGCCAGAATGACTAAATGCGAATTTCAATTTATTCAGCGTAGTTAAAACTGTATTAACACTCAGAATACTTCATCTTGACTACACTTTTAAGAGCAGGTAGTTTTAGTGGTAGGAATCAACCAGGGATATTTCCAAAACTAATTTTAGTTTTTGGCTCAAGGTTTAAACATGGAAGAAATGACTTATTTTCAACAGAAAACTTTAAAAAATATCCCTGGATGCATTCATTGATGAGTTCTGATTGTAATGTGTTTACAGAATATTGTGTATTATTCCCCAAATGCATAAAGCTTCCAAAATGGTTGGTATTTAATTGTGTCACTTTACATCTGCTCTAATTTTAGTGTGAGTGGTTTGTTTCCTTCAGTTTTAATAAAAAGGGTGATTTTTTTTTTTTTTTTAACCTTACAGACAACATCTGGGGAAGATGTGCGCGACTTCACAAAGGTGCTGAAGAACAAGTTCAGGTCAAAGAAATACTTCGCCAAACACCCTCGGCTGGGCTACCTGCCTGTCCAGACAGTTCTTGAAGGTGACAACTTAGAGACGTAAGTTTTATTTTAATGTAAAATCATCAGTGAATACTGGTATCTGATGTTATCTTAATGTTAGTAACGCAAGGGACATTGTTTAACACCAGAAAGATTTGTATTGTCTTAAAATGTTTCATTTCAAAAGAGGTAACATTGGAGTCAACCTACAGAACTATGAATTTTTACTGTTTGCTTTTGATTGGTGCATATTTAACCTAAAATGTGTTTCTAAACTGATAGTCTCTTGTTTCTAAACTGGTTGTACCTTTTCTTTTCTTTTCTTTTCTTCTCTCTTTTCTTTTTCTTCTCTTCTCTTTTCTTGTTTCTTTTCTGTCCTTTTTTCTGCTCTTTTTTTCCAGTACCAAACATTGATTCTCTGCACTGAGCTACTTCCCTAGCTTTTCCTTTTTTATTTGTTTGTTTCTTTGTTTGTTTATATTTTGAGATCTGGCCTCCTTAATTTGTCAAGGTGAAACTCAAACTTGTAATTCTTCTGCCTCAGCCTCCCAGAGTACTGGGATTATAGGCATATAGTCATCTCCTTTTTTGATAATCTCTTCTTCTTTTAAAATATGTAATCAGAACTAGGAATGTAAATCAGTGGTAGAATGCCCAGGGCTCTAGGTTCTGAGCCCAACCTAGCACTTCAAAAAAAAAAGACACTTAAATTTTTCATTTGTTCTTTCATTTATCTTTCCATGTATCCCCTTTTGGAGGTTGTTTTACTATTTCTTGTAGTACATTTTGCATCTTTTTAATACAAATTTATCAATAACACTTAAATCTCCTGCTTCAAGTATGTATCTATGCTAAGTTCTCATCACAATCTCACAGTTTTTCTTAGCTATCTTAAAGACGAAGGCAGAAAAATAAAGTAGCTTTATATGTTACAGGAAATGGGCAAAATCACTGAAAAGCATATATAAGTGGTACCTCAGTTCATGAGTTTAGTTCATGCTACAATTCTGGTCACAAACTGAATTGGTTGAGAACTAAAGCAAATTTCCTCTTAAGGTTAACCTTGAACCTAAGCACTGTATTTGATTCTATCTTCAGTTGACAAGCATAAATCAAAGTTTCAGGATAGAAAAATTACTATGGAATTATAAAGCTAAATAAAATAAGAATTTATAGCCTGAGATGAAAGGAAAAAATAAAAGGTTTAGAGCAAGCTAGAAGAAATGCAAGGAATTAATTTTAAATTACTCAAGAATTATCAAGATCAAAATAGATATGATTTAAATCTTTGAATCACTTTTTAGAATATCAACACTGATTTCCCTGACAGGGTCGTTCTCTTGTGCTAGTGGCTGAGAAAAATGAATTTTTATCACTAGTCACCACCAGAATAAGTCTTCACAGAGAGCAGTGCTGCTCTTGCCAGAGAAAGTTACTCTCCCAGCTGACGGCAGAACAGAAGCTACAAGTGAGAAACATAACATTCTCTACATCATAAATAGAGAAAATGCCTGCAAGAACTATAAAAGGTGTGACGAGTACCATTTTTGTGAAGTACAACTTTTCTTTAACCTTCAAAATTCATGGTTCATTTTGCTTTGTATGTGACAGATTCTCAGAGATAGTAAGAATCCAGTGTGCTGTAATAGTCTGTATCTCAAAGATGTCAAAATACAATAGATGATCTGATTTTTTTCCCCATACATAGTCCTGTAGACCAGGAACCTTGCTAAACTAGCTTGGCTTTAAGTAGGTCTGAATATAATACATGTACATATAGAATGTAAGAAAGAATTCCTTTAATAACTCTGCTTAACCTCAAATTCGTTGAATTGAGTTATGTGCTTTTGTCATTGTTTTTTCCACAACCCACATTAGAATAAATTTTGTGACATTGACTTCAGTTTAAGGAGAGCTACTCAAATCCATTCAGGAAAGGTAGATTTTGGGTCTTTGTTTTGTGGGCATATTTTCATCTTTTTCTTTGAAAGCTTGTATGCTAATAATTCTTACTTGTTTTATATCTAATATGCAGTTTAGTAGTGCTGAACACCTTATGATAAAGTTTTACTTCTGTTTGTATCAGATCTAATTAACCTTTGGAGTGGCTGGCTGGAGTATAGAATTATCACATGGTGCTTTAATTTATGAGGCTATTGGATGTGTTTGAACTAAACATTGTGCCTTCTACTTTTGTGAAAATCACCAGCATTTTGGACTCCAAATGTCTATATCCTTCACACAAAGTGGACAAATAGATCTTTTATATTCCTTTTAAATATTTTTAATAGTTTGCCTTTCAAGCTCGTAATAATCATCAATATCAATCTTCCTATTTTAAGTGATTCTTTGATAGTAAACATGAACAGAAAAGCATGCCAAGTAATGTTATGCTCTGATTTTAGAATGTAACACTGAAGATACCTTACCTCATTTAGCATAAATGCACTACCATTTCCAGTAGGAGGGGAAATGAGAAAGGAAGGGAGGAATATGAGTAAATCAGATACCACAATATTCTTATTGACAAAGAGTTTTGAGCTATTGGACTTAGTTGTTAGATTCCCTTTTTTAAAAAATCCTAGACAGAGCTGGACATGGTAGTGTATACCTGTAACCCCAGTACTCAGGAGGCTGAGGCAGGAGAATCACTTTGAGTTTGAGGCCATCCTCAGCTACATAGTGAGTTCAAGGCCAGCCTGGACTACGTAGCAAGACACTGTCTCAAAGATTTTTTTTCTTTAGAGCTCTCTGGATTTGGTACAGTTGTTTTTTTTGTTGTTTTTTTTTTTTTTTTTTTTTTTTTTTTTGCTGAGCCTACTTAATCTTCTGGTATAACAGTTTATAGGAATGGACAGTAAAAAGTTTGATTTCATTTATTCCTCTATCTGTGGGAAGAGAACACTGGAGAAAAACCAGTGAAGTAGTGAAGGCATTGAAATTATCTATGGAGCTGATTAGAAATTTCTTTTCTCTTTCACCCTTGAAAAATGTCATGTTTTAGTCTCTGACCATTAATTATACACCTGTGTAATAAAGGAAAAAAAGTGATTGCTAAAGGGATGAGTATACCCATGCTACAGTTTATTTAATAAATTTTATAACTTTATACACTACTTCTCAAAGAACAAAATAAGAGAGTGGAGCTTTGTTAAAGAGCAAATTATTGCAATATGCCTAAGAAATAAGCTAGTGGCAAAAGTAATTTGAGAATTGTAAGAGATTATTGACAAAAAAAAGTTAGTTGGTTTTTCTGAAGATTAAAAAAGTAAAATAGACACCAGTGTCTGGTGTTGGTTAGGGTGCGCTTGGTGAGTTTAGTGATACGTTAGAGATCTTCCTACAGCAAGAGGCAGCTCATGGTAGGTATGACTATGGCTGCAGAAGACAGGGAGGAAGACAGCTAAACTGAGACCCAGAAGATGAACAGGACCACCTGTTGAATTTTCAGTATGTTCTGAGGAGGACAAGGGAGGGCAAAGGAGGCATTTTGCGAAGCTTGGAGGCTTAAAATTTAGGCAATGAGAGCGATAAACTGGGGGCAGTGGCAAGAAACAAGAGTGGAAAAAGAAGCAGGAGCTGGACAGTGAAGGGTGCTGTAGGCCGTGCTGAAGTGTTGGTAACAAAAGCTGAGACCCAGAGATCTGCTTTGGAGGAAGTGGATTGAAGCAGACAAAAGACTGGAAGCATAAGGAACAGACTTCTGGGAACTGAAGGACTAATAGAGTTGTTCAAAGTATTCTCCAGACTTTTTAAACTTCAAATATACTTTAAGGACATTTACCAGAGTATGGTTCCTTGTGAATTAGTGTGTGACTGACCAAAACACCCTTACAGCCACCACACTGAAAAACAAGAAGCTCTATGATTAAATCTGAGGTAACTCTGAGTGTTCTTATTGTTCCTAATTTGTGGTAATGGGAAGGGAACCCAGGGCTTCAGGCCTGCTAGGCCAGAGCTCTACCACTGTGCTCCATCTTTAGCCCTGGTTGTGTTTTTAACCCTCTGTAGTCATTACATCCAGTTATGAAGGGCTTACATTTTTTGTCTGCTAAAAACAAATGTGAAGCCTTACCGCTTACATTTTTTTCTGCAAATGAAAATGCTTTGAAGTCCATGGAGTTTAAAGTTTGATTTTTTATCTTGATGTTGTTCTTACAAATATTCGATTGAAAAGAAAAAAACATCACTTCTGAGAAACTCTTCAACTCTTCGGTGCCCCTGTCTACCCCTGCTATTCTTATCTTAGTTGAGGAATCACTCTTGAACTGTCTGAAGTGCTATCTGAGGTTGCTTCAGGAGAACCAGTCAAGTAGTTTCACGGAGATTTTCCAGGGTCTGTGAAGATTAAAAATACGTTTTCTTTTGTTTAAAACTCATGTCAAATGTTATGGTGGACTTGAGTTTCAGAAATAATCTCTTCAGCTACTGTTTCTAGAAAATGTATAGCCAGTCAGTCACCTGATATGTAACATCCGTTTCAGAGTAAGAAAAAGGTGATGTGAGGAGAAAGTAGGACACTATATTGTTCTTGAAACTATTTTACATCTGCACAATTAAATCTGCTTACAGAATACTGTATTCTGACAAGCACAAAGTTAGATAAATACCTATTTTTGAGAACAGGGCTGAGGAGTCTTAAGGTTTTCATCCTAGTAAGATAACCTTCTGTCTCTGTAGAGTCTTTGCCATGCAGACATCAGCTTCACAGTAGGAGATAATGAGATTGTTAACTTTTTCTTAAGTCTATACATATAATAGCAATAGAAGAATCGAGGAAGTAGATAATTTTGCTTCAATCAACATTAGCTTTTCAGAGAGACTTTATTTAATTGAATAGACAACTATCTTTGTACTTTTAAATTTACATTCATCAGTTCCCCACCCTCCCATCCTGTGCCTCCAAAAAAATTAAAAAAAAAAAAAGAATTTGAGCTTGCTCTTAATTCAGATCAGTTGTTTTCAAAGAAAGCAATTCCTGGAGATGCAGGGATCCCTTGCGGCAAGTGTCTTGGGCTGTCCCCTCCCGGGCTAAGTGTGGGCTTGATCTGACTTTGGATTCAAGCCCCTGGTTCCAGCAAAGTCTATCTTCCTTCATCAGTTTCCTAGACTGAACTTCTAAGAGCTTGTGTTCAGTTTAGTTGGTGATGTAGCCATTTGGCAGGATGGAGAGAGAGATGTGCAGGTTGCTTTTCTTTCTTTTCTGTGTATCTGTGACATTTTATTTCTTCATGTATACCTGGGTTTGAATTTTTACATTTAAAATTGAATGAAGAATGAGAAAAACCTGATTTGACTTTGACGCTGCCATCGATATATAATCCACTGCCATGTATTTCTCTTCATCTTTTGATCACACCTATTTTCTAGGAAAAACAAAACTACAGTTGCATCTCCCCTTAAGAATATTGTCCCTGTAGTTGTGAGCTATTAGAGAACATTCTGGAATTTGGTTCTCAATAAGATTGCTTTAAAATGTGCTTGCTGTCTTGCAACAAATACCCTACAAGATCTGTGAAGAGGCCCCACAGCCTCCTACAGACACTTGAATACCCAGCGTCTTCTCTAGAATAAACTATGACTTTTCATTTCCCCGTCATGGATGTCAGAGCAACCGCACATGAGTAGAAGACGACTGTGAATCCACTCACCCCGCTGCTTTTGTCTGAGATCGCTCTACAGTGTTTGTTCTGTGACTTTTGTTTCCCTCTCCCCTCTTTACAGTCCTATCACCCTCATCAGTATGTGGCCTGAGCACTATGAGTGAGTATTCACAGCCCATATGCACATCACGGGGGTTCTGGTCAGGTGTACTAGCACGGGGGTGATGACTAAACTCTGGCTCTGAAGTACTACTCCTGCATCCCGGGTACCAATCCTGGTGGTTTGTTTGCATGGCAAATTCAGTGTCTAACTAAACTAACATTTCTATTAGTAGCATCTGTCAGTATCTGGGCATAAAACTATCACTGTGTTTTCTTTTTCAGCCCCTCGCAATCCCCTCAGCTCTTCCATGATGACACCCACTCAAGAATAGAACAATACGCCACTCGGTAAGGGACTTGGGTAGGAGCCCTGTGTGCACCGCCACCCAGAACACACCCATTCCAAAGTCATCTGACCCCGGGAATGCTGTTCTGCAGAAGTCGTGGTTCTGTTACATTTGCAATCTGGGCTGTCATCTTTTAATGTTGCAATTTGCACTTTCCCAAACACCTGCTGTAAATCTCAATAGGCTGTGATTACTGAGCTCCTGAGAGCCCAAGCACTGTACAAGTGGGATTTAGATAATGTAACTCATTTTCAGTGAATGAAAGTAGGGATTTAAAGTATTCTCAGAAGATGCTGCACATATGCATTACACTGTGTAATTAAATTTATGCTAATGCTTTGGTATTGGGGTTTGTTTTAGAGTTCCTAAACAACAATAAGTGGTCCTGATGGGCTACCCACACTTTCAGTAAAATAGTTAATATCTGTGGTCCCAGTAACCAGTGATGAAAATGCTAGTTTAATCCTAAAAAATAGTTGCAACTGAACTAAGTTGAGACAAAGTAGAATTTTTGGAGAAAAGCACACTTGGGCTGTTGCAAACTATACTGAGAAGCATTGAGCTGGGAAAGATCACGACTTGTTTACTGAGAGGGTGAGATGGCACAGAACCTGAGGTCTGATAATGAAAGGCTCAGCAGCTCAGGACCTCCGTCATGTCCTTAGGTGAAGGAAAGCCATGGAGAGTCTTTAAAGCTAAGAGGAGCACACTGAGAGGTGTGTGAGAATTCCACCGTTGCTTCAGTGTAGAAGACTGGCCAGAGGGCTGGGGCGGCCACTGAGGAGACTTGGTCAGCAGTGCACCATGACATGACAGGCCTTAATGTAGTGGTGACAGAGATACAAGTTAACGTTAGATGTTGTTTTCATTTGACAGTTTTCTTAAGACCTTTGGACCCTAGTCTATTTTGTCACAGTATGATAGTTCAAAGTGTCTGAGGATGTGCTTCCAGTTAACAATACCGTGTGAACAACGCAGGACAATAACCTCTCATTTCCGTTTTTCAGACTGGCCCAAATGGAAAGGACCAATGGTTCTTTTCTCACTGACAGCAGCTCTACCACAGGAAGTGTGTAAGTAAATCATGGAATTGGAACTGCCTCAGGAGGCTTTTTCCTGTATTCGGGCTGTCAGAATAATCTTCAGTGACTGTGGCTCTGAATTTTGATCCCAGTCAAAATTCATAAATGTGATTCCAAAAATGTCTACACAGATTTTATGCTTTCATGCTATGGTAGTATAAACTGGATATATTTAATTTACTTAATTTAATAAGAGTTAATGAAAAAAATCCTCTATTGGTCAACTGATCTGCTTTAGAATAATCAGGTCATTGCATTTATAGTACTGTAATATTTATTTTCCTTGTTAAATTTGCAGGTCTAATTCTATAGGATACAAAATCTGCAGTCCTCTTTGTCCTGCTTGCTAGCATTTTCTCTGTCACCGCTGCATTTAGCAACCTTGGTCTACACATACTTGAACATATACTCTCTGCTCTTTGGTGAAAAGTGACTCCCTTGCTAATATTTTATTTTATTATGAATCAAGGGAAGCCTCACTGACTTTAGAATACCCTTTAAGAAGCTTTCTAGACAAATATTTTACCTCTGATTTTCTCATTCGTGTACACTCAACGTGGCTGTGGAAGTTTCTTGGCAAATATTTTATCTCTTATTATCCCACTGTTTGTATCATCTTTCCTCTGGAACCTTTCTTAACCTCGCAATTCACATTAATTCTGTGCAATGTGTAAAAGACTTTAGTAATGTCAAGTTTATGTGATTTGTGGGTTCAATGTGGTTTGGATCTGGTAGAAAATTGTAAGGTTGACAGGAAAGTTGTAAGACATAGTGCAGAGGTATTTTGCACTAAAAAAGACTATGGAGAAAGCCAAGTATAGATATGTAAAGCACAATAATATAGAATGTCTCCTTTACAGTATTGAAAAAAAAATTGTTCTAATTATCATGAGCCTTATAGATAAAAGCCCTCAGGAGAGTTTTATTTCAACTGTAAATTTCAAAGATTAGCATCTTAATAGTTGACAATGATTCAGTAATGATTTATACCTTATTATTCAGGTACTATAAATATGCAGCAATTACCAAATCAAGACAATAGTGTATTCATCGTGTTGTGTTATAGTTAACATACTAGTATGTACTTCACCTGAAGTAATTAAATACACTAAATATCTTCTAAATCAAAATAATTTTCATCAAGGTTAAAAATGGTCAAAAAATTAAATAAAAATAACAGTAAAGATCAAAGCTTACCTCTTAAAAATGTGTTTGTCTTGCTGTATGAACAGAATAAAATCAGTGCTCAAATGTAGTAATATATTCTATCTTCAAATAAAAAACACGGATTATACATTTAGCACTATTTCAGAAAATAGAATCAGATGGTTTGCAGCTGAATATATCTTAATAGACTATCGTTAGATATATTAATACATTCATTCATCCAACAAATATTTATTATATACCTACAGTGCAGTGGTATGCTGGAGCCAGTTATGAGCTTTTCGTCACTGGTTACTGGGACCACAGATGATGAATATTGTGGCATTTTCAAAATGATTCTAAGTTGTTTCCTAGAGCGCTTATTAAAAACTAATTTACGTACATGTATATACAATTAAAATTAAATGAACTGGGTTAAAATAAAACAAAGGCAGCACTCAAAATCTATCACGCCATAGTTATTTTACTTCATGTTACTGTTATCGGTGCCCGCAAAATTGTTTATTATGCCCATCAGATGGTGTCTGCCTGTGTGTTGTTTCGTAATTCTATACTCAGTGATGTCTATAGCTTAAACTTGGTCTCGAAGAAGGAATTTAAGCCCCAGAACTTGGGAGTCTGCTAATCAAGGCCCTCTTGCTTTTTCTTTGGGAGAACCCATTCTTGGGCATTTATCAGTCAGCCACTGCCATGCACACAGCAGTGCAATGCATCTACAGGTGTGAGTACGTTCTGCACAAGTCTTATAGGATGGACGGGAGATAGGTAGGTAAGCGCTCTGGCAGGAGAAGAGCACGGTGAGGTCCTGTGTGGTGGCACAGTAGTATCCCCTAAAACCTTCCCATCCTAATTCCTAGAACTTGTGAAGATGTTACTTCATATGACAGAAGGAAATTCACCAGTGTTACTGAGTTAAGGCTGTGGAAAGGCAGAGAGGATCCTGACTTATCCAGGTGGCCCAGTGTGATCCTATGAGGTCCTTCTAAAGGGAAAGGTGGAGAGTTAGACTCAGAGGGGAGGGGAGGATGGAAGTAGAGATCAGATACCAATTTGCATTTAACTTTGCTAATGGAAGAGGGCGGGTTACTACAAGGTGTTAGAAAACTCAGAGAAATAATTCTCCCTTACACATAAGACTAAATTTTTTTTTCCCCCCGTACCAGGAATTGAACTCACAACCTCGCGTTTGCCAGGCAGGCGCTGTGCCGCTGAGCTAAATCCCCAGCCCCCATAAGACTAAATTAAGTTAGTGGTATAAGACTGTGTTAGCCGTGAAGGAGAAATTGTTTTCCAGTTACTGGTCCATTAATATTTTCTCAGTAAACATGTTCACAGAACAGTCTCATTCTGTGAAAGCCAGCAGTGAGGTTCTTTGCTCTCACACCTCAAATTACTGTGCAGCCTGGGGTTCTTCTCTTATAAATCTGCAGTGATTCTTTCTCCCCATTCAGGGGAGAAAGCTAATAATGAGCCTGCGTCACAGAGGCTACTCCCTAGATCTCAAATCCACTGGTCTGACATGGAGCAGTCACCTTTGTCCTTTAACTTGTAACATTTGTTTACTTAACTGCATCCATTTTAACCAGCATCCTTCCCTTCAGTGGGAGAGTATCTCTGCCGTGATGCTGGGACACCACAACAGGCTCTCCACATGTTCTCACCACTGTCTGCTCCTGACTTGGCGACAGTTGTCTTACGCCGCAGTCTGTTTCCCTTTTCCTAGCAAGAGGAACTATGTTTTAGCTTATTAAAGGGAAAATGTGTAGTTTAGGTCATTGAGGATAGAGAACTCTCAGTCAGATAGCCAAGACATTCTTCCCAGAGTAGTGACATATGAGATAATAGATAATTTTAAACTTTTAAAGAGTTATATGTTTAGTTAAAATATTCAAAAATACATAGGCAAATCATATCCATGCGTCTGTAGATAATGGTTAGAATGAAACAAGTAAACAGAGTGTCCCAGTGTGAGGTCAATTGAAAACCTTCTGGAGTGGATGTGGCAGTGTTTAGGAGGGTGATGTGGTTGCTGAAGTCAGTGCAGTGCAAAGCTAATCATGCTTTGCTAACACATTTAGCCCCTCACCGGGCAGTCTGCCTTTTGGTAGGTACGTCTGCCTTGAGTTTCTAACTCTTTCCATTCAGAAAAGCTCTATTACTAGAAAAGCAGAATTGCAAATCTCATTCAAAATTCATTCGTTCCTTCCACAAGTATTGGGCTGGGTTGTTTAATGTGTCAGGACAGGGCAGTTCATGGTGCTCCTTGGCACTCTGGGTTTCCTTAAGCCCAGCATAATGATAAACACAATTATAATCATGCTTGGCATAAGGAAAGACGTGCCAAGTCTATAGCCTTCAATGCCCACATTTGGTTGGGGGGGAAGGGGTCTGGAAAAGATTGCAAACCCACTCAAAATATGCATTAAGCAAAAAACGATATGTTAACAAATTCCACAGTATTCTTTGGAACTTTTCTCTTTCTTGAACTCCTCACTTTGCTCCTAGGCAGCTCTCGAAGTTTTTTGTTTTTTCAAGCTGCTCCAAGAAGGATATGTTGGGTTTCTTTTGAATAATAATGGTGAGGGTTCCAAGACAGCCCCCGGCTCCTCCTTGGTATGGAGCATGCCCAGGGCCAGCACTCCGCTGTGTCCTTTGCCCATCCCTACAGAATTGTCATCGAACTCCTTGGAGGTAAAAGTCTTGTCCCCATTATTAGCACCATTTCCAGGTGAGTGAATAGCAGCCCTGGGAAGGAAGGAGGCTCGCCCTGGGTCTTAGGGTCAGGAAGTAACGTAGCGGATCAGCCCCAAGCATCCTGGCTCCAGGCGTGAGCACTTCCGGCCCTGCCACTGTGTACCAGGGGAAGGAGGGAGGCTTTCCTGTGTGAGATGCTGAGGGAGATGCAGAACCACTGTAGATCCATCCAGTCTACCAGGAGGTTGTCACTGTCCCTTCCTGTTCCTGCCCATTCTGTATTCGTGCCCTGTTTCATATTTGAAACCTAAGTGGATTTTCAGAAGAGTCTACAATTCAACCACCTATGTGATCAGTCTCTTAAATTGGGCTTTGAGTGATCTCAGCCTTTTGGCAAGAAAAAAAAGTTTCATGCTATTAGGTAATAAAGTTGAGAACCAGATTTCAACTTTACCTTTGAGTTCTCCAAAGCCCTTTGAGTCATGTGTGTCATATGCAATGGCCACCCTTCCTGTAGCCTGACTCTTTCTGCTTCCCTAGTACTGGTCATGTCGCATCCCCTACAGCTTTCTTCTTCCATGGAGCTCTTTATTTTCTGCACCTCCATGTGTGACGGGCTGCTAATCCCATAGCTTAAACAGCTTTGACCTCAGCTTTATACCCAATCGCCAGGACTCCTAATTCTCTGAAAGTCTGACTCTGGGCAATGTAAGGGGGCGTTAATTTTACGGATATAAAGAGTCTTTGAAGGAAGCATTGAGCAACTACATTTGAGGAAGGGGTAAGACTCCAGATAATACTGGGGAGTCTCAGGCCGGAGTAGAAGGGGGATGGTTCCTTAGGCCTTCAGAACGTCTCACTCCATCTGCCTTTGCCCTGGGTGACACTGTTTTATGTGAAAAGATCAAAGGGGAAGTCTAGATGTGGTTTACGCTAACATTGGTCTTTGCAGTTCTGAAACCTGGAACAGAGCAGTGCTCAAAAAGAAGGAAACTTGTATTTTTATTTAGTCTCTCCAACTTTCCAAAGGTCATTGGGTGAATCACAGTTCTCTTGTCACCTGATAAGTACTAATTTTGTAATCTAGCTTATATTTACTATGTGTGACAAATAATAGTACAATTGTACTTCCTCTAATCGTATTTCTTGGTACAGACCTAGTTTTGAAATATTTCCTATTTTAGCATAAGACATACTATTGCTGTTTAATAACCCTAATCTAGTATGTCAAGTACTATTGCAATTAAAGAGTGTGTTCTTGGTCTTCATTATATGTATTCAGAACTAGAATGTATCTATTTTTATATTTAATTTTAGACCTAATAATCTGTGAAAAACAGTTGACTAAAATTACATGTAATATATAAATTATCTATAAGGTCTTATTTTTATAAAAATTGCTTTAGTGTTTTTCCAGACACCTTAATAAAAGAAAGTAACGTTAGTTGCAGTGATAATTATAATGATATTATAAACCGCATGAACTTCTCAAAAGAAATGAATCTTTGTAAATGTTGATGACAGAATATTTCCTAAACAAATTTTGACTGGTTTTGTAGTACTCAAATCTTTAAAACAAACATTTAGTTTATATTACATAATACTGAATGTTATCTAATCCCTAAGACCAAGTGTTTGCATTAATGCTCTAAGGGCATAAGGGGTCTAAAGGTGGCTTTTTTTGTTGTTTTATTTTGTATTTTTGGTACCGGGAATTGAACTCAGGACCTTGAGCTTGCCAGGCAGGCACTTGTGCTGCTGAGCTCTATCCCTGTTCGATAAAGCTATCTTATGATAGCAGGTGAGCTCTGTACCCAAATCCCTGATCAAATCATGGCTGTGAGATCAGCCAGGTAGCTTATGGGATCCCAGTTTTCTTTTTATATGTGAGGTCCTTGTATTACTTTTTCTTAAACTTCTACTTAGTTTTTTATCCTTTTCTTTTCAGTATATGATTTATAGGTATAATAACTTTTTTAATCCACATAAGAATCAGCTCACCCTACATTTATTTTAACACCTGACATTACTGTATGTTTCTGTTCTATTTTATATCTCCTGACTTGTTCTTTTTTTCTTTTGCCATGTAGACAAAGTGTTTTACCTGTACAAATGAATAATCTGGCTGGTCATATGAATGACTGGGTTAGGACTCCAGCCAGGCCCTATCATCTTTGAACATTTAATATTGTGGACTATAGGAGGCTAAATCTTCGTCTTCCTTTGCAAATGATTTACTGTTTTGTTGTGATCTCTGGCTGACTGATTGTTTGGTGTATCCTTAAGATACAGAAATTTTACTGGGATATTTATGAATGTTTTTCTTTTTGGATACTCCATCTTTTTAGCTCCTACTCTACATTCTTTTTCAGCCTGAGAAATATTTGCAAAATGTTCTGCTGTATTCTTGGTTTGCAGTTACTTTATACTGCACTCACTATATCTTTGTACCATATCTATTTGTCCTGTCCCTGTGTTAATCCTGTACATTTTATCTTCCCTGATTGCCTGTCTGCACACAAAGTGAAGGATGCGTCTCTAAGCACCGCTTGTGATCCGTTGTAGCCAGCTGCTGGCCCCCGGTGTGTGTCTGTGGGTCTCGTAGCCTGCTTCTGCCTCCTCATGATAGTTAGAGGTCTAGAGTGCTGCCATTTACTTCCTGACGGAAAGTACCGTCTTCCCCCGGGTCTCCTCCAAGATTTCTCTTTCTACATGAGCAACCTAGGAACTTGGAGTCTGTTTCCAAAGGCAGCTGCTCTACATTGCTAGTGCAGTTCCTCCTCCTCTCAGCCTTTAAACCTCAGAGCAAGCCTGGGAGTCTCGTAGAGGCCCCTTCATTCCTCTCCCAGCGGTGCAACAGTTTCTTCAGGGGAAGGAGCAGAAGGAGCCCACCTCTGGGAACGATGCCATCGGCTGCTTCAGTCCGTCCAGGCTTGTGGCCCCTCCTGTCCCACGCACACTCAACTTTTTTGTAATTAATAAAGGGGAATTGTCTTGAGCTGCATATAAAATATGTAATATCGTTAACTCCTATAAATAACAAAACTTCCTTTTAAAAATATTTTTATTATAACTTCTTTTTGAAAGAGAGCAGAAAAAATATATGGGCTGCAGGTTGGCTAGATCTGTCAGGCTGGGCATCCATGTGCCTTATTTGTGGTTTTTCACTTTGTGGTAAGGTTTCCAGCCCAGCTCCTTTTAAAACTCTTTGATGGAGGTCAGAGGTGAGGAGATGAATCTGTGTTTCTATTGTGTCTATGCTTGTACTATTCTCAACCAAAGTGTATGATCTTTATTTAAAAATACACACACACATTTATATATGTGCACGTACATATCTGTGGCTATATATACATACACATGCATACATACACACATAGGCAAGTGTAGAGTTAGATACAGACAGACAGATAATCTGAAAACAGGAAAGGGGAGAGAGAACGGTGAAAGCGAAGTAAATCACCAAGGTCTGCTTTGAGCAAGCAGAGTGCCCACGTTTTTCTTGGATCGCAGCACTCAGAGCAAACCTTTTTGTAGAACTGGCTCAATTGTAGATGGAATTCCAGTGCACTCTTCGTGAGAGTAAACTGTGATAACACAGGGCTGGACTTTAGTATCAGACTCACAAGAAAGAGAGCTGGTGCCCTGAATGTAGTTTATGTTTTAATTCAGAATGGTTGGTCCTAAAAATTACTTGCTGATAATACCACATAAAATATCTGTAGCTACTTTATAAATATGTACAGTTATCATTTGTGCTGAGTTATTGAAATAAAAGACTATAAAGATTATAGCATCCTGTGGATTATAGAATGTTTCAAGATTACTTACGATCAAATGCTAAAGACAAGGAATTCAACTAACTCTTTCTCAATGATCTTTTTTGTGTATAATTTTTTATTAGTACATGTTTGTAGTGCTATTGCTTACGTTCCCTATAAGGAACTGATATTTGTACATAATACATCTTAATTCCTTTTTAAATCTCCTTTCCCAGTGATCTCTTAATGGACTCTTGGCATTCAATGAATGCTTTTACCTATATCTTTTATGTTAACAATTTAATATTTTATATTAACTATTTAAGTCTCACATTAACTTATTAGCCTTACTTGCATTAACCATTGTGCCTTAATTTTATTCTCTGTGCTGAATAAAATCTCCTGTGAGATTTGTGAGAAATAAATGTTCGGGAGGCTGAGGCAGGAGGATCATGGTGAGTTCGAGACCAGCCTGGGCTACAAAGTGAGATTAAGGCCAGCCTAAACTGCATAGCGCAACCCTGTCTCAAAAAAAGACAAAAAACAAAACAAAACAAAACAAAAAAAGAAGACAAGCATGAAGTGTGAGTTGTCAGATGGATACGTTGCTAGAGTCTTAACAGGCACATCATGGAGACACTGAGCTCTAGGACAAACTGGCCTAGCCACCAACCCTGAGCATCATTCCCCATTACTTCCTGGACCTCTAGAGACCATGCTACCCAGCCCTGAGCTCTTGTGTCCATGTCCTATGTCCCTCCAGGGAGGACGAGCATGCCCTCATCCAGCAGTATTGCCAGACCCTCGGAGGCGAGTCCCCAGTGAGCCAGCCACAGAGTCCGGCTCAGATCCTGAAGTCTGTGGAGCGGGAAGAGCGCGGCGAGCTGGAGCGTATCATTGCAGACTTGGAGGAAGAACAGAGGTGGGCTAGGCCTGGGGGCACAGAGTATGTCACCTTTTCTTGCATGGGAAGGTCCAGAGTGGTTGTCCAAGATGTCGTGGTGGAGTCCAGACTTAGAGGACCCTAACAAGCTGGGATGAAGGCTGCGAATCCAGCCGTGTCGGGGGGCTTCAGGGTTGCTGCCTGTTAGAACACTTGCCCAAAGCTCTGGTGGTCCTCTCCCTGCTTTGTCATTTCATTGCTATGGCACGCCTTCACCTGAGAGGAAACAGCAGCCCAAGCTAAATTTGGAGCTGATAGACACTCTGGGAGAGAAGGCAGCATACCCCATAGCAATTCCATGCTTGCCTTCTTTGTATTAGGAATCTGCAGGTGGAGTACGAGCAGCTGAAGGAGCAGCACCTGAGGAGGGGGCTTCCCGTCGGGTCCCCGCCAGACTCGATTGTATCTCCGCACCACACCGCAGAGGACTCAGAGCTTATAGCAGAAGCAAAGCTCCTTCGGCAGCACAAAGGTCGGCTGGAGGCGAGGATGCAGATTTTAGAAGATCACAACAAACAGCTGGAGTCGCAGCTGCACCGCCTACGGCAGCTGCTAGAGCAGGTAGGGTGTGCAGTCCTCAGCGGTCACTTCCCTCCTGGTGACCCCCGCCGGCATCAGGAGAAGTAAAGGGGAATTCCCACCGTCGTAGTGTGTTTCAGTTAGACTAGCTTAGAAATCCCTTTTACGTGCACATGTTAAACGCTCACTGGCACAAAAAAATGTGTTTCCCCAGTTTACAGTAGAATTCCTTCTTCTGTAGCACTGAGATCTATGTCAGCTCAGAATAGTGTGGCAGAAAAGATCCTGTGACATACACATCTTCCCACAGTGCATGTGCGCAGCGGCTGTGGAAATGAAGCGCGAGCAAGTAACCTGAAACCCGCATTCTGAAGCTTTCCTGCGGTGAGCCAAGAGAGCTCACACCCCAAATCACTATTTCCTATTTTTAAGAAATGGAGTAACAGATGGTTATTAGTTTGCTACTAGCATTTCCTAACACTGGACCGAGTTTTATGGCAATTGCTTACAAGCTTTCTTGAAAGTGGCAAATATAATATATGTTGTGATGAACCATAAATGTAAGGTAAATGCAAAGTAGTGTGACTTTTTAAAGAAATACCATCTCTCATATTTTCCTAATTCCGTCCTTCCTTCCCTTTCTCTTCCTCCTTCCTTCCTTCCTTCCTTCCTTCCTTCCTTCCTTCCTTCCTTCCCTCCCCCTTCCTTTCTTTCTTTTTCTTTTTCTTTTCTTCAGTCGGTATTATGTTGCTTTCTTAATGCCGATCAGAACCTACTAAATCGATTTTATGATTCAGTGGGTAGCAACTTGCAATTTTAAAAATCAGTGTTCTTTGGTTTATAAGAGAGCCAGCGTCTGCCTTTCTGCTGCCTGCAGTCTTATTAGAGTCTTATTAGAACAACGACATGGTTTCATGAGTAACAAGTACGTGTAATAGAATCATATCATCTATAAAGCACAGCATGTGTATACACATGGTTACACATAACCTTGAAGAGCAGGAGTCACGCCACAGAACTGTGCCTCTACATAGGGTAGAATCCCTGCCAAGGGGCAGGGAGCTTGTTGCTTGAAGAATCCTTAACATCGGCATTCGAATCATCTTCTGTCTTTTTCTCCAGTCTGTGCACTGGGAGGCCCCTTGATAGTGTAATAGAGATGCTTTTCTCCAGAAATGATGCACTGGATCAAAGCAGAAGCTACTTTTCCTTCTGGTGTGATTGGCTCAACTTTTAGAAGTGCGTTCTGTCACAGTTGGCATCAGTGCCTTTTGACTTGTCAGAATCTTTCAAAACATTATAATTTCTGTGTTACAACTACAATGTGGCCCACGGGTCTCTCCTTACACTTTTACTATATACTTTTCTCTGTGTCTACCATTTTTTCAGAAGTTTTGTGACACAGCTTTGTGAAAGGTTTGTTTGAGGACCTCCAAATTCTGTGTCTGTAGAAAATAACAGCTCCTCAAGAGTGACCCCGTCCTCGCTTCAGCAGCATATATACCCAAAAAGAAAAAAAAAAGAGTGACCCAAGACCGAGCTTTCTGTTAAGATCTCAGAATGTTTGATTTTGGGGGAGGGAGGGTATTAGGAATTGAACTCAGGACCTCACACTTGCCCGGCAGGCACTGTGCCACTGAGCTAAATCCCTGGCCCAGAATGTTCGATTTTTAACCTCGGTGCCAGGCATGTGTATTGAAAAATTACTTTGCTTGTATCATGAACTTGAAGTTTCTGAATGGTGCCTGAATGAGGGATGAATTTTCTTGTACAATCTCTTTTTTAGAATGAGAAGTGTGCGTTAGCAACTTAGCGTATACACAGAATCACTGCAGAAGGGAGCTGTGCTTGAAGCCTTTATTTTCATAGCTTATTGCCGCTTTAGGGGGGCTAAAGGCTTTCTGCTTGCTTTCCCTCCCGCTTCTGCTCCATCCCATTAGACAGAGCTGCCTAATAGCTCATGTGCCTTAGAATTGCACAGTAATGCTTTTGGAGATGGCTGATGTCCAAATGCCTCCAAACATCCCAGGCCATGGAGCTCTTTTTATCTCTTAATGATTTAGCATGAATGCCAGAAGTAGATGAAAAATTCAGCTCTGACAGTAGAAACAGGCAAAGCTATCAGACTTCAACTAATACGGACTTAATGGAAAAATCTGCACAAATACGAGATTCCGTATTCCCTATACAGTGGATCTCCCTTTCTAATTTTACCATATCCTTGTTGACATATCCGTCACCATTTCAAAGATTTATGCAGGAGTGCGCTTACAAAGTGTTGGTAGTGTCACACTGTCCAGATCACTCTAGCAATACTTATTCATCACTCTCCTTACGAAATTTGGTGCTGTGGGCACTGTTATCATCAGATCCATTTTAAAAATAAAGAATCTCTGACACAAAAGTTTATATCATCTGCCCACAGTTGCACCCCTTCTGAGGGGCAGAGTTAGGATTTGAGTTCAAGTAACTGGCAAGTGAATCTAAAATCAGGCTTCACTCTCTCCATTATTACTTTTAAATATGCGCTAGTTTTGAAGTTTGATAAATTTACCATACATGTAGTCCAGGGTTAATTTTTGAAAGATGAATGAAGAATGTTTCTAAGCTTTCTTTGTTGATGAAGAAGTAATAGAAAAATAAAGGGATGGAAATTATATTGATAAATAAATCTTAAAATATAACCAAGTGAACTCTTCAAGGTGTAACGTGGAAAGAGAAAGGACCCTTGGTACGCAAGTGAAGTCCTAGTGCCTCCACCCAACAGATGCTAAAGGTTTTGGGAAGTGCCTCAAAGCAGAGACTCGTCCCTCCTTTATATCCATGGTGGGGAGAAGAAGTTAAAAGGGAAGTGCTGTCCTTTAACGCTGTTTGATTCCCTTCTGATTCCAGCCCGAATCTGATTCCCGAATCAATGGCGTCTCCCCCTGGGCTTCGCCTCAGCATTCTGCACTGAGCTACTCGCCGATCCCAGACCCAGGCCAGCAGTTTCAGCAGTCAGGTCAGTGTCCCCAGATGCAGCCACTGCGTTTGGTCTGCTTTGTACATTGCCATTTGCTTGCTTTTCATTTTAAGTCGCACTCTCCCGCATGGAAGCCTTAGCGCATGCAAGAGCATTCTCTGCAGTCTGAAACGCGTGCAGCTCCCTTTTAACAATCTCAGAAAAGCAAGCGTTTTAGGATAATAAGCTATAATGTAACTTGCTCATATAATGTGTCGGAGTGGATTGGATTTCAGCAGAAAATGAAAAATGCTCTTTCCTTTTAGAATGAACAAGAAATTAAATTTTTTGTTTGTTTTGAGAATGATCCTTTTTCAAAAAAAATGTCTCTAAAATTTGCACATTTGTGTTCAAAACATAATAGTGAAGACGATTACAGCAAATGTTATCATTTTCCCTGCCAAAGTCGGAGAGCTCTTTCATCCACTTATCTGTCCTAGTCCCAGTGGACATTTCCTCTTCTGTGCTCTGGGGCAGAGATCCCATCCAAGACCATCAGTGGTCAGAGGAGGACCTGTCACTCATGCCAGGAAGGACTCTCTAGGCATCAAGGAATGAAGTTTCGATATGGATGAAATTCAGTCTCTGAAATTCTGCGGAAGACTGTAGACTGTGACTAATGTAATTTATTTGTGGAACCTCATCACATACCTGTCCTTTGTGGCAGAATAAGCTAGAGCACACTGGAATCTCCAAAAAGAAAGAAGGAGGGGCTGGGGATTTAGCTCAGCAGCACAGCACCTGCCTGGCAAGTGCAAGGTTGTGAGTTCAATTCCTGGTACCGGAAAAACAACAACAACAACAAAAAAAAAACCAAACCTGCCTGTCCTCTAAAAGAAAGAAGGAGCTCAATGACTACATTATTTCTCAGTCCTATATTTCCCTTGCTGCATAGAGTCTTTCTACACAAACTTTTATCCATTTTAGCCATTTCACATTTTTGTCATTACCATGAAATGAAGGCAAAAATGTCTTTGATATTTCCTCCTGAAATCATCCTTTTCAATGAGACCCATTTCCATTTGAAGGCTGGAGAGGGTAGTTTATACTGATGTTGAGTTGTTGCAAGCTGGACATTAATGTCAAAGACCCATTTGAGGCTGGAGAGGGTAGTTTATCCTGATGTTGAGTTGTTGCAAGCTGGACATTAATGTCAAGAGGCCTGTTGTTTTTTCTGTGCTGTCACAGCTGCCGAGGACCTGCTGGCCCCGCCTCATGACACCAGCACTGACCTCACGGAGGTCATGGAGCAGATCAACAACACATTTCCATCTTGCTGCTGTGAGTACAAGAGGCTGGATCAACACCACCATGTTTTTCCTGCCCTTCCCCCTTTTTCTACAAATAGCTCTTTGTCTTCTTTCACAAGATAGCAAAAGCTGATATTGGAAACAGCATTGAGTATTATTGGAGAATAAGGCAAACATTATATATTTTGACAAAGAGAATGTAGCTCAAACTAGATACCATCACATCACTTGGGAGTAGTGACAGCATGATCCCGCTCTTTGAAATTTTGCAATATGCCTTAAAAGTGATAAAATGAAAATGAATGAAATAATGTCTGATTCTAAGAAGAAATTATGCTCTTCAGTGCAAACTATCATAAGAAGCTGGTATTACTTCAAAGGACAGCTTTTAGCGCATGCCAAATAAGGCAGGAAAATAGCCTTCCTAATGTAACTCCCTCTCTTTTCTTTAAGATACTGTTATCGGATGCCATCAGGTTGTGGTGCAGAAAGGGATTATTTTCAGATTTTCCTTTCTTTTGACTTACTTCTTTTTTTCATGGAATAAAGTAATCACTGTGTAAAAGCCAAATAATTTAAGGCATCACAAATCATGACTCTGTGAATTTTCTTTATGAGCAACTAAAAGCCAGAAAATCACCAAATAAAAGTACTCCAAATCCCAGGAGAAATTATATAATGGTTCTAATTTATTGATTATTTTTCCCAAATATTTTGGGCATTTTGCCACCTTGCAATTTCTGCTGAGCTCTCACCTGAGAGACCTCAACGGTTTCGAACAGAAAGTCTCTCTGTACATAGATACATACACTGATACCACCATTACATTGTAAATAATCTTCTAAAGAGTAAGAATGCATCATTTATAACTTAGGGCAATATCCTCCCAAACTGATTTTAAAACTAGACAGACATTAAACTAAGACTTTATAAAAATCACAGCCTCTGTTGTTGCCTATTTCTGTCATCACCATTTCTGTAGAAAATATATCCTAAAGGAGGAGAAAGATACTATCAATTATTAGTAGTAGAGTTAAATAAGATATATTGATGTGATTACAAAATTTACCTTCATTTCATACCACCCTGTAGTTTTAAATATGCCATTAATAGCAGGACTTAACTATTTAACTTATATTCTTCTCTGGATTTTCAGGACTGTTAGCCTAAATCATATATTATCAAGCACATAAATACATCTTTTTATATTTGTGAGCATGTCATTTCTCCGGTTTTCACTTGTAATTCTCATACTCGTAGCTTAAAGTTTGTGTAATTTAATGTGTATCAGTCCCCACATTCATTCCCCCGAAAGCATATGCATGAATATGTGTGCAGACCAATACACACACACACACACACACACACACACACACACACTATTTTGACTGAAGCCATTTGGTGCCTGCGTGCTGTTAGATTGTTGCTTACTTTCTGGACTATTTAAACTACCTTAATAGAGAAACCGATTCAGTCTTTTATATTGATTATCATTCAAGGTTGAACTTTATTTTAGAAGTTGGGATTATCGTATTTAATGGCTAGACAAGACATCATTATACTTTTCATAAGTCAGAGTTTCAAAATCAAAATTTTATAAGGCATTACTATTTAGTTTGACATACACCTAAATACAATGATAATTAAAGAACAAATTGTGTAAATTCAATTCTGTTTAGGTTACATTTAAATGTCATGGTGGGCATTTTCAATTTAAAAATCAGTTGGCAGAAGTATGTTTATACCTTATAATGAATATGAAATGGATAATTTCCAATTAAAATTTCTATGCCACAAATTGAAGAGTCTTTACAAGTTTCATTTTCTAAAGCACTTTTAAGAATACAATTAAAAATAAATATAAATGAATGTGATTAAAATAATAGAGAACAATTGAAAACATAGCTATAGAAAAGAAATGAATCTTAAAAGGTAAATGAGTTTATTTTATGTTATAATCCCCCTTTTAATGGCAAGTTTAAAGTTCTTGTTGAGTTGGAATATTATTAATTACTCAGGTTTAGGGAATAGCTGATGGAACCCTGAGATACCTGAGTAGGAAGCTGGCTTTGTGTTCTTCTAGTCTTAAATTTGCATATCCACAAATATTTATAACATCTATGCTTCTGAAAGTTGTGCTGTTAGTTTGAGTTTAGTTTACTCTTTTTGATACTCATATTTTGCTTTAATAATATGAAAATCTCCAAGGTAGTGATAATTTCCCACTTAAAAAAGCTTAGTTGACTGGTTTATAAAATTGATACATATTTTAAATTGTCGGAAATCATTCAATCTTTTAAAAATGAATGTATAATGATCAGTACATGGAATAGACTTGTTGCCTAATACGTATTTCTCAAATGAAAACAGGATAAATTGCTAAATGATTACATTTTCACACTGGGAATTTGAGTTGTTGAAATTTTCCCAGGTAACAGTCAGAAGGTGCTGTAGAAGTCATTTGCTTTAGCTCTCCTCTTGTTGCTCAGCTAGCAGATATTTTAAGGCCTCACAATTCCCAAGGCTTACTGGACCACCTTTGGAGGACATCTAAACAAATCGGATTGGCACCCGCCCAAGGCCAAGCCAGTCTCTTGAGTCTGTATAACTAATGAGAATTTTAAAATTGGTTGTCACCAGCCTAGGACGAATTGATATGCATGTTCGTCTTGACTTTGATCCTTTGTGGATTAAAAATTAGCATGGCCACGAATGAATTTCTACTCCTGGCAGTCTTGGAATTTAAATGAAACTATTCATAAATTCTAATTGCATAGATTGCTTACTTTAGCATGACTTTCTGGTTTTAACTGTGTTGTATGTAACACTTTAAAGTTCCTGCAACTTGAATTAATATCCCAATGGTTGTCATAGCATCTTTCAATTATTGCTTTTGTGCAAACTTTTTAAAATGGTATAGAATTTCAAAGCGGAGGAGCAGACATTGCCATGTCTTTCTGACATAGTTAATGAAGGGAATTTAATTTTACTGCCAATTAAGTAATGTACATACTAAAATCTCCTCTGCTGTAACCATTTCTTTTTTCAGTGAAAAATATTTGTTCTCTTTTATTTCATTGAAGTCCTTCATATATACGGGATGCTGGTAGTAAGCCACATAGCTTTGCTGACAGATCGACAAATGCTTTTAAAATTACTGTTATTCCACAAGCGTGTTTCCACTGTGAATTGCCTGTGTTTGCTAAACTTAAATGGTATTCATCAAAAACTGAAACCCTACTGAAACACAGTGATTTCCTGTTCTTCTTTTAAATATGTATTTATATATTTGTTCAGGGGAGCATCTATAACCTTTTATTTGTTAAAAAGTTGTAAGGTTAAAAGTATTGGTTTGGAGCAAAATGGATCAAACTTCTGTGCAGGGTTTAGGCATTTGTTATAGTTGTTACTTACAAAAGAAGCATACCTCTGCTTCATTTAGAAAGAGTGAACTTGGTAATAATTCAACCCAGGAATCTCTGGAGTGTGGCTCACGTGCACATGGAAGTCTGCTCTTTTTGTGTGATAGAACTTTTTTATCTGGCAAGACTAGGCTTGCTTTAGTGTGATTCTTCCCCAAACACAAGGACTCATACTTTCCCTCCAAACTCCAGGGAGTCTCTACTTCACACCTTCTTGTTTTGTCTCACAGAGTAGCTAGTACCCAGTGTGCGGTCGCTGACATCCCCCTATCCCCACCTCCAGCCCGCATAGAGAAATGAGAGATGGAACAGTGCAACAGACTAAATGATTAGAAAGAGTTCTTACTTGACCAAGAGCAGATGTTGCCGTTATTACGGAAGTGAGCTCCTGTTTTTCCCTCCTGTGTTCAGTGTGATTGGGATTGAGAGGGAGATGAAATTTGGCTACCCTCGAAAAGCCCGCCAGGTCAGATCAGCCTCACTGGTGAAGTACCTGGATGCAGAGGTTAATTAGACGCTCTACTCTGACTACTCCAGTGCTCTTTCTGGGCCCACCAAAAACATTACTGTTACCTGGTGTTATTGTTGGCAAGGAGTAGGCAGCCCTTTGATGCAAGCCCATAGCCACCATCTACCTACAACTTCCGGGCGAGGGTAAGTGGAGAGTGGCAGAAACCAGACACTCATTCCCCGGTGGGCTGCTGGGTCAGAATTTGCACTCGTCAGTAAAATGTACAGAATTTGTTTTGTTCTGATGTATATGTCAAATACATGGCATAATTTAAGGAGGAAATTTTGAGATATTTTGTAAACTGAAGTGATCACTGAATGTTTTAGTGCCTATGTATTTGAAAGAGATAGCCTATTTTGGGTGGAATTTTTGTATTTTAAATCACAGAGGAGGTGGTGAGAAATTAAATAGGAAATCTGGCCTTTGTTGAAGCATTGGGGAGGTGAATGGGGAGGCTTGTACCGTATTTTCTTTGAGAGTCCGTTTAGCAGGGATCTATGATCCTACTTAGAGTAGTACATTCATTTGCATGCATGAATGCTGGAAGCAAGAAAGCAACAGTAGGGCCTTCAATTGATTTCTTTTGTTTCCTTTTCAGCAAGCGTCCCCAGCAGACCACAGGTAAGAGTTAATGGCCTGATTGGCTCAATTCCTGCTGATCCAACCTAGAATAAGCAGATTAGCTGCCATTGATTTTGTCCCACTCCATTGTCTCTGTAAATAAGTAAACTTGTTTGACATTTAAATTGTTAATTCATTCTGTGCAAGTTTGTCAATCTGGAGGGGGCAGGGAGGGGAGTTACCAAGCAGACCAGAAACACTATGTGTTTGATCCTGTGTTTTCTAATGTCATGCTGTATACTATATGAAGTTACCTGTATTAATTTGACTGAGCACCCCCTTGCATGCCGTTATCCCAGAGCATGTACTAAAAAAAGAAAAAAAGTGATAGGTACCAAAGTAGTAGTACAAAGATTGTTACTTCAAGGAGGGAAAAGTTTCAGTCTTGCACTTAAAAATTAGTTGAGATCTTTTGGTAGCTATAGCTTACGTTTTTCAGTATTTTCCTGGTCAGGTACTCTTGGTAATAATGTGCCACAGGGCCATGGTTCGTCTTTCTCGAGAGAGCATTTTCTTCCATGAAGTCATTAGTAATCTTCATATCCGTGAACTTCGTGACTTACCCATTGACAAAAGAAACTGGTTCTTAGCTAGCAGCCAAAGGTGTGTAAAGTAGCGTAGTGAGCCATAGTGAGAGCCATGGATGTCTTCTGATTGCATCTGTCATCCTAGTGAATCAGAAGCTGGGACTTCAGCAGAGTGAGAGGTTGGGGAGATGGTGCCAGAAGTGTGAACTGAGAATATACTTGAAGAACAGAAGAGAGATTACATTCAGAAATAAAGTGTGAGGAACAGATAGCATTCAAGGGCATCTCTTAACATGTCAGTCATGAATTTAATAGGTGAGTCTGCAGGGTCAGATGTTGACTTCCAGCCACAAGCAAGTCCATAAACATAAGCACAAGAGTTGCCTGAATATTGCCCTTAATTTGATAAAGTTGTTGTTGTGGCTTAGCCAACCAAGGAGAACAATTTAAGGGAAGAGGCAAAGAAGCGACTATAATGATTGAACTAGAACCTTCAGTTCAGTGGTGAAAGAAATGAGAAAGGTCCTGTATAGGAGATGAGGGGAAAAAGAGGCCAGGATCTATGGATTACAGAATCAAAGAATGGATGAAATTGCCATTCTGGCCAAAGTGAGCTGAAAAGTTAGAGGTGATTGACAGAAGAGGAGGGATGATTGAAATTGAAATGTTAGAGGAGTCACAGGTATTGGTAATGGTCTACATTTGAGGAAATGACTAAGAAAGCTGATAAGATTGTGTGGGTGTAGCTTTCATAAATCAAAACGTAACTTAAGGGTCCATTGAGTGACTGCGTCCTGGACAAGCTTTCATCTGATGCCATGTTATTCAAATGAGTGCTTTTAGGGAGAAGGGAAAGAAGGAATTACTCAAGGAGGCCTAGGAAGAGATTCTTGAGTGTGTGAGGATTCTGAGAAAAAGCAGCATGTGACGTCTGTGGGTTACTGTGAAGCTCTGTCCTCAGCGAGATCTTAATAGCAATTAGAACACACTGGGAAGGAAGCCTTCGTAGGAGAGTATGAGAAACCACGTGGTCCAAAGGGCAGTGAGGAAGGAAAGGTGTCACGAATTAGGGAGGTGGGATGTGGAGACACACGGAGGGGAGTGCAGATCTCTTTATGGAACACAGAGCAGCAGATGAAAGCGTGACCAGGAATCTGGAACAGTTTTTTGGCAGCCCATTAAAAAGAGAAAGGCTGTGATGCCTTCAGTCCTGATGGTCCCAAAGTGTTGGTGAAGCTGTGAGCGATGGAGGGCGAGGAAGGGAGACGCTATGTTTTTTTGTAAATCCTTGAATACTTTACAAGTGCTCAGAATTTAAAGCAGGAAGGCATATTAGAGTCCTACTGTTTTTAGCTTTTAGCTGAATTCTTCCTGGCAATATAGCAAGTTAGTGGATAGAACAAACATGTGACCCCTTAAGGAATGCCCCTTTCCCTCCTTCCTCCCTCCCTTCTGCTGTTATTTTCTTTTCCCTTTGACATTTCCCCCTCTTAACACTTCTCATATCTTGGTTCAAATGGGAAATTCACAAAAAGTGTACCTTTTCCTCTAGATAGTTGTATCACCACTAATATTGTCTGGTCATAAATTTGAAGAATTCTGAGACCTACAATGAGAGTTATCGTGCACTACTTGAACAGACATATCCGATTTTCAGGGATAATAGAAAACATAGAAATAACTAAAAAAATTCTTGAAGCCTTCATTTTGACATGAAAGCTTTGGTTATCAATATTAATGTGTAACAACAAGTGGAATTGATTTCTCTCCTTCTCTGTTCCCAAAATACATAGGATTTACTCTGGTTGGACAGATCTCATGGTAGAAAGGAACTAGCATGTACTGTTTAGATGTCTCTCATACCTGCATCACCGTGAGGGCCTCACCTCAGTATCTTGTAGCTCAACACGTGCTTGGAACTCAGTGAACATTGCCATCAATGTTTGCTGAGTGTTATTCTTGCTAACAGACTTAACAAAGGGTTCAGAGTACGGAATACAGAATCCTGCTTACTATAGAAGAAGAACTGTAGGCAAGAGTCAATGAGCATGCTACTTCTGGTCAACCTGGGAAGAGTGTTCCTTGGACAGCTTTTCCAGCAACTTCTTTAGCAACACACTTCCAGGGGGAGTAAGTCTTCATGTCGAAGTCCTCCATAAAAATAAAGAGCACTGAGAGACAGGATGTCTTCAGTGGGAGTCCTGAGGGATTCCTCACAATCTATGAGGCATAGTTCAGTTTGGATTATTTTATTTCATAGTGATTTTTTAAATGTGTCTAACTTCAAGATACTTTTAAGAAACCACTGTTCAACCTTTCCTTGGAAAGGTTACTGCCACTTCCTCCACTGTGGTTTGGGTCCTCTTGCCTGGGCACCTCTGCACACCTTTTTGCTTTCAATTCCTGCCTTCTTGTCTTTTTCTCTTGATCCCATCATGGGGTGGACAGATTGGAGTTGTCAGGGCGCCTCTTCTGTAGGAGACCCTGTCATAGTCCTCCCACAAGGGACAAGTACTTCTACAGGTTTCATTACATTACCTTTGCTCCTTTCTGCAGGAAGAAGCCAAGCCCTCTCCATTTTAACTTGGTTTCAGGCTGAGCAAGAGAGAAAACACGCAGACTTTTTTCTATGATATCTGCAATCATAAAAAACATGCAAGATGGCCTTGGGATGAGAAGAAAGGGCCTCATCCCCGTGAGCAAAAGTCACATGGGAATTTAGGTCCCCTTTGAGCACAGCCAAATGAGGCTGGCCTGGTTCAGACAGATGCACTTCTAATTCTTTGAGGAGTTGACAGGTCTGTGCTACACACAATGCTCCATGCAAATATTGTCGTGACTGCACTGTTTTCCTCACCCGCAGGCCATGTGAAGCGTTCATCCTGCCAGACAACATTTCCTGACGTGCAGTGTTGCCCTTTCCTGCCAATGCCAACCCCAACTTCATTTACTCCGAAGCTCCATGGCTCCTTGACATGTGCTGTTGAGCGTTGACTGTGTGTTCTACTGAAGGAGTACAACACTGACTATCCAAAGAGAAAAGGATATTTTGTTTTTATAACAACCATATATTATTGTTTTCTTCTTCCCTTTCTATGCAACTGTAAATTAATGAACAGAGAGGTCTTTGGAAATGGTAATACATTTGTCACTGATTTGTATAATGTGTACAGCATTGGGAAAGTGGGTGGGGGCTTTCTAATATGATTCTGTGTTTTTAATACCCACGACAAAAATTGCATAAGAATTAGAAGACCACTTCACATTTTTACATTCCTTCCACTGCTCCTGTTAACCTTGTGCAATGACTTCATTTATTTCTTTGACTCCTTTACCATTATGTTTGGTTATTTATAATTCATCAGCCACGTGACCAAATAGATTCTGTGTATTTGTTCCCATGATTTGGCCAAATTAGAAAGTTCATACATTTCAATCAAATCGGCTTTGAATATACTGTTTAACTTTATTTGACAGCATATATTTATTTCCTTAGTGGTAACTACCAAAAAAAAAATCCTGTGGGCCTAAAGGGCATGTCTATTAGTATTTTGTCTCCAGTTTTTATTCCTTTTTTTCTGTATAAGTAGGTCTTGATTTCTTTATTTATTTCACATCCCAGTCTATACGATAGAGTGCATTATAATAATCTCAAAGATCATTTTACCAAAGGTTGCTCATTAAGCATATTTTTATTTTGACACAGAAACAAAACAGTACCATCTTTCCTAGTCCCTAGGTCTTTGATTTTTATCATAAAATACACAGCAGACCTTTACCTATCATGAGACAAAAGCACATTGTTATCTTTAGCTCCCTTTGAAGAGAATCTTGTTTTTGTATTTTCAAGTCCTGTATAATTCTTGTAACTCTTGGTTGCTTTCTTTCTGAAAGCAGACACAAATTTAGTGCATGTCTCATTTTACCTTTGTAATGAATGAGCAGATGTCTTACTTCCTGTCACTTGATCAGTGTGTTTGGAAAGGATGTTTTCCAGAAGCCTGTGCCACAACTTCTACTGAAAAATGAAATTAATGTTTAGATGGGCATACCCCGCCTCATACTTTGAGTGCAGTTTAGGTATATGGTTCTATTCTTTTATTTAACATTGAATAGATTCATTGTAAACATGTTGCTTAATTACCAAATGTAGTGAAACCAAAAATAAAAATAATGTGTTTTGATTCAAGCATATGTGCTTTTAAAACATGAGGACATTGTAACTTTGAGTTCTTTTTCACTGGGATCTGGCCAAGAAGGAGGCTTCAAGTTAGAAATTATTATTCTTTTAGAATAGTTTGGGTGGGTTGGGGGGCAAGGGTGTCTATTTGCAGCATAGATATTTTGAGAAGAAGAAAAATGTTTTATATAAGAGGAAAGCCATGACTGACCACCTTTCTACCTCAAATCCATCTTCCTCCATCCTGTTGGAAATAGCTTTATGCCACTGCAGTCTGCAAAGTGTAGAGCTTTTATCAGGCCATATGATACCCAAGAAAGCATCTATTTAATGAAAAACAAATTCCCTGAACTCAGAACTCCAGGTTGTAGATTTGGTATCTTCCTTGTTATTACTTTGAGAAGTCATGTGTTAATTTTTTCTGCCTGTGTTTGTATGCAAAATATTCTCTATCTGCTATTACAGAAAAGCTACGTAAAACACTACATTGTAACCTTCTAAGTAATAATAAAAAGAAATATATTGCAGTAACAACAATGGGAAATAAGTATAATGTTCTTTTGAAATATGTGGTAAAAAACTAATCATAGAATATCATCTAATCTGGTTACATGTTGTATTTTTCATCCTGAATAAAAGTAATTTTAACACAAAATGACTTTGGCATTCTGCTGTATTCACTGATAGAATATCATCTTTGAATGTACATTGATGAAATTGTAAGGAAAGCCTGTGGTCCTGTATTTTCTCATAAACACTAATCCATTCTCCTTTTATTCTCATTATCTCACTTTCTTCTCTCTTACATATGCATATAATAGTGTAATTCTTAATTTCCTTTACAGATCAAAAGCTTATTGATAGGAGAAAATGTTAGGTGCTAAAAATGTGTACATAAAGCCTATTCAGCCTTCATTTTCATAACTAGGTGTTACTGGCATTTAGTTGGTTATGCTTTCAAATCCACTTTTAGCCTTAGGCTTTCAACGCATGTGCTTTTCGTTTGTATCCTGGAGTGTAACTGTTCTGGTAGCCTGTGTAATCAATTTCTAAAGCCACCCAATGGGAAACAGCATCAGGAATCATGTTACTCGATTCTATAAAGTTTTATGTGAAGTAGGGAAATGCCTGCAGTATAATTTGTCAACGTAAACCTGATACATTCTGATGCACTAACATTGTAAACCTCTTGACATGGAGAAGTAATATTCACATTAAGAATTCCTAAGGAAACAACCAGTTCCAACAACTTATTGTGTATGGAGTTAAATATGGAAGTGAGAAGAGAAAAAGATTCTTTTTTCTGCTAAACCTTTAGTTACTTATACATCATTGTAATTTTTTTTTAGGAGAATGCAGTATGCTGTTGGATACCCTGTCTCTCCAAAGCGTTCATCATTTCAGTAGACTAACTCTTCTGGACACCTTTCTAATTTCACTGTTTGAGAGCTTAATAAAAATCCAATAAAACACCACTAATACCCTACTTAAACCTAAGAACATACGGTCCAAGACACACTGACATATAATGCCAGCTTGTGTTTATGTGTAGTTAGGTGAGCCTGCTATGGAGGGCGACCAGGAGACAATCACAGTTGTAGCATATCCAATACCTGTGACATCAGTTATCTATCACCACATAATGTTGCATGGCAGCCATGAAGCCTCAAGAAAAAGCATTGTTTAGCTCAAGGGATGGGGGTTCAGCTAGCCCAGAAAGCACTCTTGTGATCGCAGCTGGTAGCCGGTGTAATGGATTTCTAAAACCATCATTGCTCACACACATGTGGGAAGCCTCAGGTCACCTGGGGGTTCCACTGGTGGTGCTTAGTTTACGCCCGAGTTGAGGGGATGAGTGGCTGGTGATGAATGTGGGGTGGCAAGCCCAGGGAGCCTGAGGAAATTCAACTGGACACTTTCAAGCCCTGCAAGCTAATTTGATGTGTTGTTATGCACACCTGACATGCAGCAGTGTGGCCACATGAATGGAGGTTTTGGCTGACAATGGAAACATCAACACCTCAGCCAGGGGCTGGGGATTTAGCTCAGCCGCACAGCACCTGCCTGGTAAGCGCGAGGTTGTGAGTTTGATTCCTGGTACCGGGGGAAAAAACAAAACAAAACAAAAAAAACCTCACCTCAGCCAAATTCTGTTGGTCAAAGAAAACTATAAGGCTAAAAAAGAAGAATAGATTCCATCTCTAGAGAAACTGCAAAGTCCTGGGACAAAGTGTGTAGTGAAGGTACATAGAGGGTAATGAATGGAGACTGTTGGTCTCACCATATGAACTTTAGGCAAAGTAGAGAACTTAGAGGTGAAATCACGAGAGTATCAATTTTCTTGGGCAACATATTTACCAGCTCAATGAAAGGGAAAGGTAGTCTCTCTATAAGACCTTTTAAAACAATGGTCAATACCAATCCCTCCATGCCAGGCAAATGATCCCATTTCAAAACAACAGAAGCCAACCAGCCGATAAAAACCCAGACACAAGTGGAAAAGCTTAGCATTTCTGTGCCCCAAATCATGAGAAAAGAGTTCAAGAGCGAGAGGAGAAAAGCTAGAAAAATGGAGTAAAGGAACTAGTTTAGACTCAAGAGAACATTCTGGCTGAATTGTAAAGTAATTTTACCTAGAAGAAGACAAACTAGACATGATAGCGGATGCTTATTGCAGCTACTTTGGAGGCTGAGGTAGGAGGATTCCAAGTTCAAGGACAGCCCTGTCAACTTAGTAAGATTATGTATCAAAATAAAACTTTTTTTCTGGTACCAGGAATGAACTCAGGACCTTGCGCTTGCCAAGCAAGGTGCTGCACCACTGAGCTAAATCCCCAGCCCCCGAAATAAAACTTTTTAAAAGGATTAGGGATGTCACTTTGTGATTAGAATGCTTGCCCTGGGTTCAATCTCTCCTACCAATGAGAGAGGAAGGAATGAATAAATACACAGGAAGTTCTTCACTTTGACCAAATGAATAAGAGACATGTGATGTTGGGCACTTCCCAAGCCTATGTTTAAAAACTTGCCATTTATTTGTACATGAACTTATTTTGGAGGCCTTCAAATTGTGACATTTTAAAGTCTGAAGTTGGCACATAGTCTTGGTTTCATTTTTTTTTTTGAACAGTTAATTTGTTGGTAGTGTTTTAAGATTTGCATGTGGGTAATTTGGAGACATAAATTCACATTTTTCCCTCAGGTTCTCAGACACTGAATTTGTAATGGTACTAGTCAGGGTTCTTTCAGAAACATAATTCAAAGTATATGTAGAGAGATAATGTAGGGAAGATTTATTATGAAAGACTGGCTCATAAAATTATGAAGCCTAAGAAATCCCATCATTGGCTGGCTACAAGTCGGAGTCCTTGCCGTGTAATTTCAGTTCAGACCCAAAGGTGGGGAGTTTAGGGAGCCAATGGTGTAAATTCTAGTCTAAGTCTAAGAACCCTGGAACCAGAAACTGCAGTATCTAAAGGCAGAGGAAGGTGGATTTCCCAGCTCACGCAGAAAGATAAAGTCAGTCCGTCTTCCTCCCTTTCGTTCTATTGCAGCTCTCGCTGGATTGGGTCATGCTTACCACTTGTTTTTATTCTGTTTACCAATTCCAATGCTGAACTCTGTCAAAAGCACACTCATCAACACAACCCAGAAACACTATTTGACCAGCTGTGTGGGTGTCCTGCACTCAGACAAAGTGACACGTAACCATCACAATGGTTAAATGGGAAGAGTTCCCAGAATGCTATGGGATGCAATTGCAATTACTTCTTGATATTATTTTGTTAAGACCATTTTTCAGAAATATTAAAATATTGGTGTAATAATCTTTACTCCAAGTCAATTATTTTTATCTTTTTTCTTTTAATTTAGATAAAACACCACTACTATAACTATTGGAAAGAATTAAATTATTGTAGTGTAAATTTGGCTCAAGTTAGTATCAAAATGCAGAATAGTCTTACTCTGAATCTCATGACTGCGTGTTCCCTGTGTGGAACCATGGATCCACAAATGTTGCTTGTGATTTCTATATGCTCACGCGCATTCCACATGATCCTCATCCTATCCTGTTCTCATCCTACTTTCATCCTCATCAAGATTTATTGTTGTCAGTGATGTCTAATCTATCATGCTGTATAGTACAAAGCAAAAGGTATGCTGGACATAATATCCCCAACATGTTGATGAGAAACTATGAAAATATAAAAGGGAGATCTTTGGATTAACTAACTGGAGGATGTTAACCATGAATCAACAGTCTTCCTTGGTTTGAAATTTAGTGGCCATGATTTCTTTGAAAACAAACTGACTGCCTCATGTATGTAAAACACTGTTCATTTCCCAAAACAGAGCGAGGCTTTTGTTCCTCCCTAACATAGTGGATAAATCCAATGGGAAGCAAATACTTGCAAAGACAGTAATAGAAGCTAGAGGAGAATTAATAGGTTCCTATAAAAACATAATGCGTACCCTACACCCCCACAGGAAGTATTTCTAAATATAGATACAGCTCAGGAAAAAAATAGGAATTAACTACCGCCTGAAGAATGGTAACCTAACAGCCAACCAGTGATGTCCCATATGCTTAAATGACCAAAAGAGTACTAAGAAGACACCACAAGCTCAGTACAAATGCAATGGCTATAGCAGCATTTTCCCCAGTGAATGGTTAAGTAATTTTGAGAAAGTGGATGCTCTGGTGCTCTTTGGAGATTCATAATACATGTGAACTTATTACAAACTCTCAGAAATCTGAAAAATGAAACCTGCTTAAATGCACTTTACCTTGTATTTCTAAAGGATTTAATCAGCGAATCTTTTTGTATCTTACCTATTAACATGCTGTAATGTACGCTTTAGAAGATGTACATTAATGTCATTTGTTTTAATTTCCAAATATGTAAGTAGCAATCCTTGAAGATTATAAAAGTGACAAGTGAATAGTAAAGCAATTATCAGTATCAATTCAGAATTTTAGAAAAGATAAGTCTCCTTGTATGACAACTAACACATTCTTATTTTTAAAAGGTATGTTAGGGGCTGGGGATTTAGCTCAGCGGCAAAAGCGCCTGCCTGGCAAGTGCAAGGTCGTGAGTTCGGTTCCCGGTACCAGAGAAAAAAAACCAAAACATAAAAAATAAAAAATAAAAGGTATGTTAAGCATGAATAGAAATCAAGGAAAAGAAAACAAAAATGACAGTTTGCCTTCAGCCCATCTTTGCTTTTAATTTAAAAACTATATTTCTAAAGAAAATGATTTATAATTCTAAGATCCACATAGTCTAGATAAGCCATGTATATCAGGCATTGCTAAACTACGTATGAATTACAAAAATAATAGTAGCAAGCAATGGCTAGGGCGTTCAAAAATGTTTCCTGAGATCCTGTTTGCTGTTCATTCCTTTGCTTTATTAATCACAGGAGGTATTAGTTGGTTTTCTCACCTCTGGAACACAATTCCTGACACCTTCAATTTAAAGGAGGAGAGGTATAATCTGGTTTCTGGTTTCAGGGAATTCAGTCCAATGGTCAGGTGGTTCCAAGGTAGAAAAAGCACAGCATAAGGGCATAGTAGAGCAAAGTTGCTTACTTGCTGGTGTCGGAAAGCAGAGCAAGGGAATGGAGCCAGAGAAGAAGGGGCCAGGGATAAGGTCA